ACAAGACCACCACATTTTAACGTTACGGGGCAGATACTCTCTCCCTATACGCAGATGCTTAACGAAGTTCAGGTGTGGTATACATACCCTCAATATACAATTATACAGACATTCCAAAGATAATGATGTTTTAACATCGATGTGTCCTTTCTGCAAATATAACCAAGAAAATGAATACCATGTTTTATTGATTTGTCCAGTATATGAGGATATAAGAATCAAATACCTGCCTAACTATTATTACACGAATCCATCACAAAGAAAATCTGTACAGTTAATGAACAGCAAAAATAGCCATATTCTTCTCAGACTTGCAGTTTGTGTTTATAAGATATTTGAAAGAAGGATAATACATTGAATATAAATAAAACTGTGTACACCATATTTAGCTACAATCTAATCAGTATACAAGTGTTGCTTCACGACGGATTGTTTTACAACAAAATGTCATTGTGCTATTGGCCTCATGGCCACACATACGAAATAAATCTTTCTGATACTCGATCCATAAGACAATGGAGGCGGTCTAGCCCACTTTATTTCAGAGCAAGGTATTTACAAATGCAATGGTGTATGATGACAATTCTAGCAGGCTTCATCATCACACATGTAATGTGCTTGCAAAACATGCTGCTTATTTATGCCATGTAACCTGGATAACTTCCTTCAATTGTTAGTTTGTTTTGGTTTGGTTTTGCGTATTTTCTTTATTTGCTTATAATAAACAAAGACACTTATTTGTCTTTTTCACAGGGAATTTTTTATTTAGATAAGTCTAGTAAATATAGTTTGTGATTGGTTCTGATTATGATACACGCTGCACTGGTATGGCTCAGTCTGTGTGACTTCACTGCGTTTGGATAAGCACCTTTTTCTACCTGTATGCATATTCAGATATATACACATAAAGGAACTATCGGACCCAATTGCCTCGAACTTCTGGGGACCAAAGAAATAGTTCGACTTCTCCGAAATATTTGAATTCGACCTGGATCTTGATTAGTTCTACCTTTTAACTTTGGGGACCGTAAATTGAACTCAAAACACCCATTTCGAGCATTCAGGTAACAATAATAGAAAACGGTTCAAACTATATTGCCAAATCAGTAAATCAGCACAAAATACAAATGAACAAAAAACAACTTCTATTGAAAAACATAATTGTAGGTCTACAGTCACAAAGGGGTTATACAATGGGTCAACTATGGGCAATACATAACAGGCCATTTAACTAATGCAGCACTAACAAGAGTTATCTGATGATAAAAGTATATTAATTACACCATGAATGTTAGTAGAATAGTTCGCTCCTTAGATACGTTTTCAGATACAATGTTTGTAATAAAAACGATATCTTACGGGAATTCGTTCAGTGATCTATCACATAATATGTCACATAAGAATATGTTTGATATCATGGAAGAATGTAATACAGGTTGGTTTTCCCAATGGCTATATAGTCTGTATTTGTTCAAGGGACACAGCTCAAAGAATTCTATTTGATCTTGTCTTGGCAAACATGAAAATGCTATCATGGAAATTAATAGGATAAATTGCTTTGAAATAAAACAATCATTATATTCCTGAATATGTGGTCACCGTGAACATACTTTAAAGTCTATATTGCATGTACAACAGGTTACATGGCTTCGTATTGGGTGTGAGACTTCACAACTCTGACACTGGAAAGGGTGCAGAAACAAATCAAAGTGACAATACCGACTATGATAGAAAGACACCAACGTGTTCCTGCAAGTACATATTTTACACAGTGACATGTAGCTGCAAACATTCATTGTGTACGTCAATCTGAACTCACTCCCACTAATTACAACAAAACACTTTGCTTTAAGAAAGTTCGGAACACACTGAAATCTGCATATGTCCAGTTGGAAACTGTAAGAAACTGTTATGTAATTTTCTAAACATAAATGATTTTGTCGGCATGAAGTTAGCCATGTTCCTAGAATTTGTAAAGTACAATGGTTTTTCTATGGAATTGAGATCCATACAGAAACGCCAAAACTACATCGACACAAATCACTCCCACTACTTTCAACATAACACAGGGGCACGAGTGGCCCAGTCGTCTAAGGTGCCGCGATTCGCTGTGCAGAGTTGCGTCCCTTGGGCACGCCAGAGACCTATGATTGTTGGTTCGAATCCAGGTTCGCCCAGATTATGTATCTAGGTTTGTCAGCACCATATCCGTGCTCTTGGGTTTCACCGAAGTGGTAAACGTCTGAGACCTGCATAACTTCGGGCTTTCCTCCCATATTTAACTGTCACGCCGTGATATAACTGGAAAACTGTTAAAAGCAGCGTTAAATCCAACTCGCACACTCACTCAATTCAACTTAAAACAATGCCCCAGGAAAGTTTGGTACACACTGAAAGGTGCATATGTCCAGTTAGGAACATTTGAAAGAATCTATTATGTAATCCTCTACGCAACGTAAAGGACTTTTTTCGACATGAAGTTAGCTATGGTCCATTAGCTATGGAATTGATATGCTTACCGAAACATCAATGCTACATCGACACAAATGACAAATAACTCGTTATTTTCTGCATCCCAAATTCAGACGACTGACCCCTAATGGAGGTTGTAAAACTGTATATGTATACTGTATCACTGGACACCATAATAACAAGTGGGAACATGACTTGAGTTTCCATATATGGTTTCTGATCTTTGATTTGGTGAACGTATCTCCATGTGTGCAGGATCTGTATGGAGGTTGTTAAGATTTCCGTCTATATGATATGGTTGGGATGACTGCAAGGCGATCTCTTCCATAACACTTTGTCTGTCTGTGGAAACTGCTTGTCCCAGTTGACTCGGAACATAAACCCCTGGCAATTCTCCTGATGTGTGCTTCACGGGACAAGTTGATGTTGGTGGGTTGGATGTAAGCCAACCGCCATTGTTATAGCTTCCGTATGGAACTGACGATGATTTTATAAGAAACTGGCCATCGGTTGTCACCCTGAAACAATACCACATGCACTTGACACAACATTTCAGAGAAAATAGGACTTAATCAAAATAGTGATGCTATTGTGACATATAATACAAAATCAAGATGTAAAAGCCTCCAGCGCTTTCGAATTCGTATCTAATGAAAAAGACTCCAACTAAATGGAAGCCCCACATACTCATAAACGTAAACCAACGAATCATTCATTATTATAGACAGTGAAGCCTAATCCAGTTAAAATATTGGTTAACATAATTTCAATGTTTTTGCAAAGTCCCCACTGACATATGTAGCCCATGGAAAATAAGGTTTCACTTGGAACAAATAGCAATAGAGTTCATTTCACCAAAATGCATCTCTACAAGGTCCCCAAAACAACATACTTAAAGTCCCAAGCAATCCCAGTTTGGGAAATATGTCTAATTTACATAATTCAATATGGAAACCATCTCTCAATAGTATTTTCCTTATTTCAGATGAGGTTCAATGTTTTGATGAAAAACAGCATGTGTTGTGTTGCAAAATAGTCATATTACGTTTCTAAAAAGATATTCACACGTATTGATCGTTTTCGACTATTGACAAATCTACAAAACATCAAGATGGCCGGCAATTTCAAGATGGCCGACACATTTCCTAAATATGAGTTTAGACTGTTGAAGCTTTTATCTCTGAAACAGTGTGCTGGGACTTATATGCATAAAACTTGTCACACTAACTGACTGGCCCAAAATTCCAAGATGACCTCCAAGACATGGTCAGACATGGAATATCAATACACTGTTGTTCTCTCATGACATATTTGATTGATTGATTTGGGACTTTTAGTATGTTGTTTTGGGGTCTTGTAGAAATGCTCTGTCTATATTCTTTATTTAGCTGAAATAGATATTTTGATTTATTGTCTGATGGTACAGTCCTCTTCGAGGTATCATATGGTTTCGTGAGGTTTCAAAACTGTTATGCAAAACAGCGTATACAATATATGTGTTTGGGCTGTCAACTCAAGCATCATTTCCACATTGCTCTTACCTATCTATAATTGTACCATGATTGGTTGTCAGGTCATGTATATTTGTTGCCTCAGTTATAATCCTTGCAATATCATCGTGATGTTGTGCCTCTGCTTTTTGTAAAGCAGTTTCTTCTTTATCGTCTTTCTCTTAAACATTTGCGTTGTTCTGTAATAACACCTCCACAACCTCCATGTATCCCTGCCAGGCTGCATCATGTAGAGGTGTGCAGCCTTTCTTATCTTTCTCATCCACATTTGCCTTGTTCTGTAATAACACCTCCACAACCTCCCTGTGTCCCTGCCAGGCTGCATCATGTAGAGGTGTGCTGCCTTCCTTATCTTTCTCATCCACATTTGCCTTGTTCTGTAATAACACCTCCACAACCTTCCTATGTCCCTGCCAGGCTGCATCATGTAGAGGTGTGCTGCCTTCCTTATCATTCACATCCACATTTGCCTTGTTCTGTAATAACACCTCCACAACCTCCCTGTGTCCCTGCCAGGCTGCATCATGTAGAGGTGTGCAACCTTCCTTATCTTTCTCATCCATATTTGCCTTGTTCTGTAATAACACCTCCACAACCTTCCTATGTCCCTGCCAGGCTGCATCATGTAGAGGTGTGCGGCCTTCCTTATCTTTCCCATCCACAATTGCCTTGTTCTGTAATAACACCTCCACAACCTCCCAATGTCCATGCCAGGCTGCAAGATGTAGAGGTGTGCTGCCGTCTTGATGTTTCTCATTCACATTTGACTTGTTCTGTAATATCACCTCCACAACCTCCCTACGTCCCTGGTAGGCTGCCTCATGTAGAGGTGTGTTGCCATCATCACGTTTTTCATCCATATTTGCCTTGTCCTGTAATAACACCTCCACAACCTCCCTATGTCCCTGGTAGGCTGCAAGATGTAGAGGTGTGCTGCCATCATTACGTTTTTCATCCACATTTGCCTTGTTCTGTAATAACACCTCCACAACCTCCCTATGTCCCTGCGAGGCTGCATCATGTAGAGGTGTGCTGCCATTATAACGTTTCTCATTCACATTTGCCTTGTTCTGTAATAACACCTCCACAACCTCCCTATGTCCCTGGTAGGCTGCATCATGTAGAGGTGTGCTGCCATCATTCCGTTTCTCATCCACATTTGCCTTGTTCTGTAATAACACCTCCACAACCTCCCTATGTCCCTGGGAGGCTGCAAGATGTAGAGGTGTGCGGCCTTTCTTATCTTTCTCATCCACATTTGCCTTGTTCTGTAATAACACCTCCACAACCTCCCTATGTCCCTGGTAGGCTGCATCATGTAGAGGTGTGCTGCCATCATTCCGTTTCTCATTCACATTTGCCTTGTTCTGTAATAACACCTTCACAACCTCCCTATGTCCCTGGGAGGCTGCACGATGTAGAGGTGTGCGGCCTTTCTTATCTTTCTCATCCACATTTGCATTGTTCTGTAATAACACCTCCACAACCTCCCTATGTCCCTGCAAGGCTGCAAGATGTAGATGTGTGTTGCTATCATTACGTTTCTCATTCACATTTGCCTTGTTCTGTAATAACACCTCCACAACCTTCCTATGTCCATGGTAGGCTGCATCATGTAGAGGTGTGCTGCCATCATTCCGTTTCTCATTCACATTTGCCTTGTTCTGTAATAACATCTCCACAACCTTCCTATGTCCCTGGTCGGCTGCATCATGTAGAGGTGTACGGCCTTCCATATCTTTCTCATCCACATTTTCCTTGTTCTGTAATAACACCTCCACAACCTTCCTATGTCCCTGGTAGGCTGCATCATGTAGAGGTGTGTTGCCATCATTCCGTTTCTCATTCACATTTGCCTTGTTCTGTAATAACACCTCCACAACCTTCCTATGTCCCTGGTAGGCTGCATCATGTAGAGGTGTGCTGCCATCATTACGTTTCTCATTCACATTTGCCTTGTTCTGTAATAACACCTCCACAACCTCCCTGTGTCCCTGGTAGGCTGCATCATGTAGAGGTGTGCTGTCATCTTGACGTTGCCGATGCACATTTGCCTTGTTCTGTAATAACACCTCCACAACCTCCCTTTGTCCACGGTAGGCTGCATGATGTAGAGGTGTGTTGCCATCATTACGTTTCTCATCCACATTTGCCTGGTTCTGTAATAACACCTCCACAACCTTCCAATGTCCCTGGTCGGCTGCATCATGTAGAGGTGTGCGGCCTTCCTTATCTTTCTCATCCACATTTGCCTTGTTCTGTAATAACACCTCCACAACCTTCCAATGTCCCTGGTCGGCTGCATCATGTAGAGGTGTGCGGCCTTCCTTATCTTTCTCATCCACATTTGCCTTGTTCTGTAATAACACCTCCACAACCTTCCTATGTCCCTGGTAAGCTGCATCATGTAGAGGTGTGCTGCCATCATTCCGTTTCTCATCCACATTTGCCTTGTTCTGTAATAACACCTCCACAACCTTCCTATCTCCCTGGTTGGCTGCATCATGTAGAGGTGTGCTGCCTTCCTTATCTTTCTCATCCACATTTGCCTTGTTCTTTAATAACACCTCCACAACCTTCCTTTCTCCCTGGTAGGCTGCATTATGTAGAGGTGTGCTGCCATCATTCCGTTTCTCATTCACATTTGCCTCGTTCTGTAATAAGACCTCCACAACCTCCCAATGGTCCTGGACGGCTGCAAGATGTAGAGGTGTGTTGCCATCATTACGTTTCTCATTCACATTTGCCTTGTTCTGTAATAACACCTCCACAACCTCCCTGTGTCCCTTGTTGGCTGCATCATGTAGAGGTGTGCTGCCATCATTCCGTTTCTCATTCATATTTGCCTTGTTCTGTAATAACACCTCCACAACCTCTCTATGTCCCTGGGAGGCTCCACGATGTAGAGGTGTGCTGCCTTCCTTATCTTTCTCATCCACATTTTCCTTGTTCTGTAATAACACCTCCACAACCTCCCTGTGTCCCTGCCAGGCTGCATCATGTAGAGGTGTGCGGCCTTCCTTATCTTTCTCATCCACATTTGCCTTGTTCTGTAATAACACCTCCACAACCTCCCAATGTCCATGCCAGGCTGCAAGATGTAGAGGTGTGCTGCCTTCTTGATGTTTCTCATTCACATTCGACTTGTTCTGTAATATCACCTCCACAACCTCCCTGTGTCCCTGGTAGGCTGCCTCATGTAGAGGTGTGCTGTCATCTTGACGTTGCTCATGCACATTTGTCTTGTTCTGTAATAACACCTCCACAACCTCCCTATGTCCCTGCCAGGCTGCAAGATGTAGAGGTGTGTTCCCATCATTACGTTTCTCATCCACATTTGCCTGGTTCTGTAATAACACCTCCACAACCTTGCTATGTCCCTGGGAGGCTGCATCATGTAGAGGTGTGCTGCCATCATTACGTTTCTCATTCACATTTGCCTTGTTCTGTAATAACACCTCCAAAACCTTCCTATGTCCCTGGGAGGCTGCATCATGTAGAGGTGTACGGCCTTTCTTATCTTTCTCATCCAAATTTGCCTTGTTCTGTAATAACACCTCCACAACCTTCCTATGTCCCTGGTGAGCTGCATCATGTAGAGGTGTGCTGCCATCATTCCGTTTCTCATTCACATTTGCCTTGTTCTGTAATAACACCTCCACAACCTTCCTATGTCCCTGGTCGGCTGCATCATGTAGAGGTGTGCGGCCTTCCTTATCTTTCTCATCCACATTTGCCTTGTTCTTTAATAACACCTCCACAACCTTCCTTTGTCCCTGGTAGGCTGCATTATGTAGAGGTGTGCTGCCATCATTCCGTTTCTCATTCACATTTGCCTTGTTCTGTAATAACACCTCCACAACCTCCCAATGTTCCTGGACGGCTGCAAGATGTAGAGGTGTGTTGCCATCATTTCGTTTCTCATTCACATTTGCCTTGTTCTGTAATAACACCTCCACAACCTCCCTATGTCCCTGCCAGGCTGCATCAAGTAGAGGTGTGCTGCCATCATTCCGTTTCTCATTCATATTTGCCTTGTTCTGTAATAACACCTCCACAACCTCTCTATGTCCCTGGGAGGCTGCACGATGTAGAGGTGTGCAGCCTTCCTTATCTTTCTCATCCACATTTTCCTTGTTCTGTAATAACACCTCCACAATCTCCCTGTGTCCCTGCCAGGCTGCATCATGTAGAGGTGTGCGGCCTTCCTTATCTTTCTCATCCACATTTGCCTTGTTCTGTAATAACACCTCCACAACCTCCGAATGTCCATGCCAGGCTGCAAGATGTAGAGGTGTGCTGCCGTCTTGATGTTTCTCATTCACATTTGACTTGTTCTGTAATATCATCTCCACAACCTCCCTATGTCCCTGGTAAGCTGCCTCATGTAGAGGTGTAGGGCCATCATCACGTTTTTCATCCACATTTGCCTTGTTCTGTAATAACACCTCCACAACCTCCCTATGTCCCTGGTAGGCTGCAATATGTAGAGGTGTGCTGCCATAATTACGTTTTTCATCCACATTAGCCTTGTTCTGTAATAACACCTCCACAACCTCCACGTGTCCCTGCCAGGCTGCATCATGTAGAGGTGTGTTGCCATCATTACGTTTTTCATCCACATTTGCCTTGTTCTGTAATAACACCTCCACAACCTCCCTATGTCCCTGCCAGGCTGCAACATGCAGAGGTGTGTTGCCATCATTACGTTTCTCATTCACATTTGCCTTGTTCTGTAATAACACCTCCACAACCTCCCTATGTCCCTGGGAGGCTGCACGATGTAGAGGTGTGTGGCCTTTCTTATCTTTCTCATCCACATTTGCCTTGTTCTGTAATAACACCTCCACAACCTCCCTATGTCCCTGGTAGGCTGCATCATGTAGAGGTGAGCTGCCATCATTACGTTTCTCATTCACATTTGCCTTGTTCTGTAATATCACCTCCACAACCTCCCTATGTCCCTGGTAGGCTGCACGATGTAGAGGTGTGCGGCCTTTCTTATCTTTCTCATCCACATTTGCCTTGTTCTTTAATAACACCTCCACAACCTCCCAATGTCCCTGCCAGGCTGCAAGATGTAGAGGTGTGTTGATATCATTACGTTTCTCATTCAAATTTGCCTTGTTCTGTAATAACACCTCAACAACCTTCCTATGTCCATGGTAGGCTGCATCATGTAGAGGTGTGCTGCCATCATTCCGTTTCTCATTCACATTTGCCTTGTTCTGTAATAACACCTCCACAACCTTCCTATGTCCCTGGTCGGCTGCATCATGTAGAGGTGTGCTGCCTTCCTTATCTTTCTCATCCACATTTGCCTTGTTCTGTAATAACACCTCCACAACCTTCCTATGTCCCTGGTAGGCTGCATCATGTAGAGGTGTGTTGCCATCATTCCGTTTCTCATTCACATTTGCCTTGTTCTGTAATAACACCTCCAGAACCTTCCTATGTCCCTGGTAGGCTGCATCATGTAGAGGTGTGTTGCCATCATTACGTTTCTCATTCACATTTGCCTTGTTCTGTAATAACACCTCCACAACCTCCCTGTGTCCCTGGTAGGCTGCATCATGTAGAGGTGTGCTGTCATCTTGACGTTGCTCATGCACATTTGTCTTGTTCTGTAATAACACCTCCACAAACTCCCTATGTCCCTGGGAGGCTGCACGATGTAGAGGTGTGCGGCCTTTCTTATCTTTCTCATCCACATTTGCCTTGTTCTGTAATAACACCTCCACAACCTCCCTTTGTCCATGGTAGGCTGCATGATGTAGAGGTGTGTTGCCATCACTACGTTTCTCATCCACATTTGCCTGGTTCTGTAATAACACCTCCACAACCTTCCTATGTCCATGGTAGGCTGCATCATGTAGAGGTGTGCTGCCATCATTCCGTTTCTCATTCACATTTGCCTTGTTCTGTAATAACACCTCCACAACCTTCCTATGTCCCTGGGAGGCTGCATCATGTAGAGGTGTGCGGCCTTTCTTATCTTTCTCATCCACATTTTCCTTGTTCTGTAATAACACCTCCACAACCTTCCTATGTCCATGGTAAGCTGCATCATGTAGAGGTGTGCGGCCATCATTCCGTTTCTCATTCACATTTGCCTTGTTCTGTAATAACACCTCAACAACCTTCCTATGTCCATGGTCGGCTGCATCATGTAGAGGTGTGCGGCCTTCCTTATCTTTCTCATCCACATTTGCCTTGTTCTGTAATAACACCTCCACAACCTTCCTATGTCCCTGGTAAGCTGCATCATGTAGAGGTGTGCTGCCATCATTCCGTTTCTCATTCACATTTGCCTTGTTCTGTAATAACACCTCCACAATCTTCCTATGTCCCTGGTAGGCTGCATCATGTAGAGGTGTGCGGCCTTCCTTATCTTTCTCATCCACATTTGCCTTCTTCTTTAATAACACCTCCACAACCTTCCTATGTCCCTGGTAGGCTGCATCATGTAGAGGTGTGCTGCCATCATTCCGTTTCTCATTCACATTTGCCTTGTTCTGGAATAACACCTCCACAACCTCCCAATGGTCCTGGACGGCTGCAAGATGTAGAGGTGTGTTGCCATCATTACGTTTCTCATTCACATTTGCCTTGTTCTGTAATAACACCTCCACAACCTCCCTGTGTCCCTTGTTGGCTGCATCATGTAGAGGTGTGCTGCCATCAATTCGTTTCTCATTCATATTTGCCTTGTTCTGTAATAACACCTCCACAACCTCCCTATGTCCCTGGGAGGCTGCACGATGTAGAGGTGTGCGGCCTTTCTTATCTTTCTCATCCACATTTGCCTTGTTCTGTAATAACACCTCCACAACCTCCCTATGTCCTTGCCAGGCTGCATCATGTAGAGGTGTGCTGCCATAATTGTCTGTCACATGACTTATTCCCTTGTTCTGTAATAACATTTTAACAACTTCTGCATTCCCATATATACATGCCAAATGAAGTCCAGTTTCACCCTTCTTGTTTGGCTTACCAATGTCCAGTACTTCCTGTAACAGGTAGCTTACATTGCTAACATTTCCAACTGCACATGAGTAATGAAAAGGTGTTGATCCTTCAGGACCTATGATATTGATGCTACGTTGTCCCTTCTTTATAACTATATCCATGATATCTTTGCCCTTTTGACACATGGCTGCATAATGTACATAAGTATTCTTTCTTGAACTGTTCTTGTTCTGGCTCGTCTTCATCAAATGTGACAGTCTGGAAGCCACTGTAGACAACCCACCCATACAGGCAATGTCCAAAAGTGAACATTTACCAAACTTTACTCTCAGATCATCTACAACTGCCAACTGCAGTTTGATGATAAGAGGTCTTGGGAGCTCGGGTAGCGTCATACACAACATATCCAACTTCCAGTTATTTTTGGAACACAAGTAATCGAAGTTGGCCAAACTACTCCCAAAGCAACTTCCAAACAAGGCTTCCTGTCTGTTCTTTACCTTAAACTGAACACTGTTCAATGCTTTCTTCAGCAAATTCGAGTTGCCTGTGACGCTCGCCCAAAACAGAAAGGAATATCCATATATAATGTCATTTTTTGACAATACTTTCAACAGTTCAGATCTGTCCTTGTTCAGATTATGCAAGAGATTCTCCCAAACCATATTAACAAATGTCTCTACCTGGAATAGTGAATGCATGCACACAAAGGCAAACTTTCTGTCATGTACAGCTGCAACAAACCGCCTTGCTACAATATGCAGATCATCATGTTTCAATTCGATTTTAAAAGGCACATCTAGTTGTTCCTCTTCGGTTGGATCACCTCTAAATGTCACATAACGAAATATGAACTCGAGATCCATCCTTTCAACCAACTGTCCCACATCACTGAGCAGTATTTCTCTTAGCTTTATTGCTACTTCATGATTTCTTATTCTATATGACCCTGATTCATGATGGAGACAGCATCCCGCCAATTGGGATAAAATAGGTTTCATCATATTTTCAGTGTATTCTTCTTCATTGATGTCAAAAACCTTGAGTGCCCAAACAATATATTTTTTGTAGGTTTCTCTTTCCACGCGAGTCCCTGTGTCAGACCCTGCCCATAGCATCCTCTCCTCCAGGTTATTCTCCGCCAAAGCAACCACTAACAAGCATGCCATCTTCTGCTTATGCAACAGGTGCTGATCCAAACATGGATAGTCCTCTGTATCTGTGAAAACAAATAACGTTTGTAAGAAAGCAGTGTACAACATTGCACATGTAGATCTAAAATATAATACCTTGCGTAACGCCTTACAATTACGTAACATAGTAATGATCTCCAGAATGCATACTTTCATCACTGGCGATAGCACAGTCGGTTCCTTCATGTGTTTCATGTCCATCCTCTTCATGAATAGTTGGACCTCCTTGTTCTGTTGTCATTGTACAGCTATTTTCCAGTACATCTCTTGTCTCCAGCGTTACAGTTTGAATTTCGTTTGTGACATTACCCTGTCGATCAACTGCCATCATGTGATTTCGTCCACCATGCATATCTCCCTTGTCCTTGGCATACTGTAGTATCCTCTGAAGTACATACAGCCTGTATTTCTCAACGTGACAGTTCCTCATGATGCCTGGAGACTTCTCCGACAAAATTGCATCAGCAGCCTGAGAATATGAAGGTTAGAAATGAAAAGGTATCGTTCATACGTGGTTTTTGAGACACATGTTGCCTTTCATATCAAAAACATAGCTTCAAACCAACCTACCATCAGAACGAATATCCCACAGCTGTGTCCATCTGACTGTTCTATCCCCGGGTACTGTTTCTTCATCCATGACTTGCTCCTTTCCTTAGACGTAGATTTCAAGTGGTTTACAAAGAGCCTGAGGAATACATGTATATTACTCGATGGCAATAAAGTCTTCAACTCATGTGGACTGGTGCTAAAGTAAAGGTAGAACAGAAGGTAAATACAGCAGTGCCTAAAATATCCGGTCCTGGCATTTCTGATGTTCTCTCCTGCTTTGTCCATAATTAGGTTTTATGTTAGCAAATACAGATGTTATGGTTTAAATGAATGAGTGACATAACTGTATTTATGGCGTTTAAATCATTCACACAGTGTACCCATTTGGGGAACTGGGTAACCCTGTGAACAAGTTGTTCTATATCTTCTACCCAAAAGTAAAAGCTACAAATGTGGGTGTATCGAACATTTTTCGATGGATCTTATTTACATTCATGTTTGTTTTTGAGAAATCAACATTTCAACATTTCAAATTGGATAGCTATTTTTAACATTTATAATGTGCAGCCACACGTCCTCTTCTTTTTTTTTTATCTACCTCTAGTGTTGTACAAATGAGTGTTCTACATATAAGGCGGGTTTAGAATTGACCACGCCCACTGTTCTGTCCACCTACCTCCAGTGTTGTACAACCTTGTCCTCCACATCTAAGGAGGGTTTAGAATTAACCACGCCCACTGTTCCATCCTTGACATTAGCCACCAGTAGCACCCAATGTTGATTACGTGGCATGTTCACTGGCATTAAGATCCACGTGTAGTTTGTCAAATTTTCCTGAAAGTTCACAACAAATGCCTTTCCGGTGTACGATCAATATATCAAGAAACACGTGCTTCACATAAGATGGATATGATGCAGTAACAGAGATATTAGTGAATTGGTATGATCTTGGAACTTAGAACTTCTAAAGACCCCTCTCTGACAACCAGATTTTCACTTCGTAAAATAATATGTAGCAAGACGAATATGTTCATGTGCAATATCTGCTTTTGTAACTGCATATTGAAAACGAATAGCATTATGATCAATGGGGTTACTGGCTTTGACTCAATTGAAACCCATTGCAGCATATGGTCGCTTCGTGCGCACAATTGCAAGTGACAACTTCTAGCATGCCGAATACGCAATCATGGCATAGACGAATCATATGTTATCACAAAAAACATACAATTATTACAAAGTATCTTTCGAGTCTTGCCCTTGTTCTTGGTAGGGTGGACATGCAATGGTACACTCAGAATGAAAGAATTATAAGAAATATAAAAATCTCACGTCACTCACATCTTTCCCCCTTATTCTGTCTGTGTACTGTCCTGCCTCCCACAGTAGGATTGTCTCTGTAGGCAGCACCAGACAGTGGAAGCTGACACGGGAACACCACTCTCTCTCCAGGAGGTGCAGGTATATGTCCATGATCTGGACAGGAAAGAGTTCATTTATTAGAATGTTTATTATACTGTTTAATCGCCAAATGCGTTTGCTTCAAAAGGAACGCTTGTAATTTCAAATCAAAGCAGGATCCGCTGCACATCACATATTCATCATGAAGAGAATATATCGGCTGTTAGCAATGACTGACAATTTGACTGGTGATGTACTAGATTTTGTGTACAATGCCCATTGCAGGTGAGTAGTGCCATCATTGCAGAATCGAGATGCATGGCAATGAGTTGATAATTAGCACCATTATATGAATTGATAGTTAACTAATACTGGTGTAACAAGAAGAAACCGCCAAAAGTTGCTGTATTAATCTTAAGATGGGGTCTCAGTGGTCCAAGGCGCCGCATTTCGCTATGCAGATTCACCATGGGAATCAACAAAGTGGTTAACGTCAAAGATGTGCATTACTTTCTTCATAATTTAATCCAACGCACCATGACACCACGCCTACCTCAAGGCACTATCAATGAGTATTAGGTGACTGAACAACTCACCACCCTCACGCCTCCAGTTTATATCTAATACTAACATCATTTGATGAAATCGAAAGCCTCCCATGCTCTATGAAATGATTTTCTTGGATGGTTAACTAGGCATGTAGTTTGTGTGATTGTGTAAATATTGCAGGTGGACTACTTACTTCATCTGTCAGCCACTCGTTGGTTTCCAGGCGAGACAGAACATCTCCTCTGATGGTGTAGCAGCCAACTGTGTATGTACAGTCACGTGACAGGGGGACGTCCTCTTGTACATGCTGCAGGTGTGAAGGAGGATCCTTCAGTGTTTTCACAAAGTCGTAAACTTCAGTTCTGGTATGACATGCTCCAACAAGTACTGCTGCGATGAGCTTTATGTAAACTGAACCGTCTTGGTTCCAGCTCAGACCGTCAGTATTAACAGCACATTTAACCCAGTTCCTTGCTTTAATTGCATCTAGATTCCAGTTCTTGTCGACCTCTTCAATGAGTGACAAGCACGGATTGCCTTTGTTGGTACAGTCCTTGTTCCAGAACCTAGATAATGCTAGGACATGTTGCACGACCTTTATCACATCACGATTCCTTTCTACTTCTTCTAGAAATGTGTACAGATAAACGTAGGGTGTGTTAGTGACACAGGTTGCAACTGTGTTGTCATTGTCAACCTGAGGCTGCAAACGAGGTTTCTTGACAGGGGAGCCTGACGTTGTACCCAAATATTCAATGTCATCATCACTTCTATGATCTCCTGACCTGCAGCGTTTCTGATTTGTGTCATGATCATTCTTTGTTTCGGTCTCTGACACCTTTGCTTCATTCAATGTTACACCTAGAATAGTGTTTGATTTACCGTTATTTTCCAATTCTGTCGGTGATGAATGAACTTCAGGGTCCAGGTTGGAGTTAGTGTTCTCCGTGACCCCCGACTGCACAGCTCTACCAGTTGATTCTACTTTCCTACATTTACTGTCACCTGAGGTATTAACTGTCTGTTGACCACGCTTCTTGCGTTGGGGAGCAGGCTGTGCTTGTGTGTGGTCCCCGATATATTGCACTAGGACGTGTTTCAGAGGCTGGTTGTACAGATACGATGCTTCTCTGACAAAGGCCCTTGTTGTCGCCTTGTCCTCGGTGTAAGCCTTGTGGTACTGCTTCACTATGACTGGACTTAAGCCAGGCTGCTTCCGAGTTCCATCACTTCTGAAGTGATATTTGTCATCCTTCCAGATATCTGCAAATAGAAATTAATATCATAACATTGCAAACAATGTTGTAATCCTGAAGATGAACTATCCCTCAAAATTCTTTGTGTGTTAGTGTGTCACCTGTGATGTAGATGTTAATTAATAAAACTGTGAACAGTCAATAGTGTAACATAACTCTAAAATCAACCCACCTTAATGCCAAATCAGCTGTAAGGTCATGCATAAATATGTTGTATTAGAGGTTGTGATGATAAATACCATGTCCTTTTTTCCTTCTCTGAGATGCAACACGATGCTTGATTCTTGTTTAGCCAATATTGATTAATCCAACAATGGATTTTCTACTAGTTGACATCAAACAATGTTCATTATTTAAGTACACAATTGTTGTAGAGGGGATGGAAAGAGTAAATAGAAAAACAAAGATAGAACATAAGTAAAAGAAGTCGTTTTGATGATGATACAGACAAATAAACTTAATTCACGTAGTCACTTATTTGCACGACTATCACTTGTCAACAATATTAGCAAACATAAAACCGGTTATCACAGGGCTGTACAAGGAAGCTGATACCAGGGCAGGGTGACCCCGACGTCAAGCAGACTATTACTAATAACGTACATGTATATGAATGTGGCTTTGAGGACATTGGTCATGTGTACTTAACAACCCCAATGAATTCAAATTGTGTAAAAAATAATATCAGCTTTCCATGAAATATTAACATTGTTCATATGTATTAATCCCTGACTCATGGTAATATTAAGCCTGAACACAACTGCCTCACCTTCTCTCATTCCCGAGGTTATCTTATAGAGGTACACCTCCCCTCCATGGGGTGTGGCGGGGGCAGTCTGGATGGTCTTGCTCTCATCCGGACTCCTCAGAATGTTAACAATTTCCTCCACTTTAAGGGCTGATGTTCTCCCTGTCCGGTAAGGCTCGGGTGGTTTCGGATTAGGCGCCATTTTGTCAAGTTATTAATAGTCACATGAGTCACACAGGCGTGATAAATAATCGGTTGTTCACTTGAACCTGTAGATGACAAAAGGTTATATGCTGAACTACATCCAAGCATGAATATTCTTATATACCCTGTATTTGTCTACGTATCAGTGTTGGTATTGTTATAACGCCTCAGGGCGTCATAAACGTCTCTCCTTGTACCGCAGGGGACTTTCTGTTATTGGTTTGTTGTTCTGTGTGTGGCTTGCGGGGAAAAATAAAGCGAGTCTGCCCAGGAAAATAGGTGGTTCGAGCCCCGGCCGCGTTTTACCAAACGACGTTAAATGATGATATTTGTTATTACCCTGCATTATTTCTGCAGTACACTGTGTGACCATATTTCAAGATGAGCATTGTACATGTCCGAGTAACAATCCAAAAAAGCGTCAGTCTTCGTGATCAGGTGAATCCACCTAATATACATACTTTATTGTGGTTTCAAATCAAGTCTTGATCAAAATATAACAAAATATTACAAATTACAATGTTGTTGTCTAGCGACATGACTAGAGAATTGTTACTGAGTAAGAAACCTTTATTGCCTGGTTCAACCTATGCTCACTGAGAGAATGAGTGAGTGAGTATGGTTTTACGCCGCTTTTAGCAATATTCCAGCAATATCACGGCGGGGGACACCAGCACATGGCTTCACATATTGTACCCATGTCAGGAATCGAACCCGGGTCTTCGGCGTGACGAGCGAACGCTTTAACCACTAGGCTACCCGACCGCCCCCTGACAAAATGAACTACACGTCACCGAGGATGTGTTTTTACAATTTTCATAATCACCTGTACCCAAACTAACACAGATATTCATACTTTATAATAATGTCTACCTCCACTGAAGTATCCCAGCATTGTCATTGTTCTAATGTTGAAATTTGGTTGATCTGAGTTTGCTTACTTGAAAATCATTGTATCAACATTGTTTCAGCTCCGTTCGATATTGAAATTTGTTTCAATCTGACTTTCAAATACGAAAAGTAAACACCTGGTGTCATCATTGATTTTCAGTGGTACATTCATACATAAAATTATTTATTCTCGTGCATTGACAATTATATATTGTGGAACGGCACCCTACCTTTAATTTTAACATCAATCGGTGTCATAGTGTACGAAAACCACTTGAGTGTGACATCATAACTCCAACGAACCTTTTGCCAGTCACTGCTACAATGTATATACGCCGGTATGTCAATCCGTGTAGTGACATATATTTATAGTCTTGCATGGTTGACGTTTGTCGGATGTTCGGACCTAGATCGGTTCAAACACTGTACCGTGGTTGTCAAAGGGGCATGTGCAGTTCGTGATCAGGTGTTACGTATTAGTTTCATCAAGGAACGGCTGTCAGCCAAATCCTCACCTGCACCGGAGTCATGTGAGATACGAAAACGCTCTCCCAACTTATGATGACTGTTAGGTATGCGGAAGCCATCAACTCCTCAATTAATTGTTGGGTTGCAGATACAAACAACTGGAACAGACAGACAGACAATGTCCTTTCCTCTATAGCCTAGGCTCTATTCAACAGGGCAGAGTTGCACACCAATGTTCAATGTATATGCAGATCTTGATTTATGCTCACGATATGGAAGCAGTGGAATGGCAGTTCGGCCACCTATCTGGTCCTGGT